CTTTTTCTTTTTTTTTTTTTTTTTACGAAAGGGACGTTTCCGTTCACGCTTTCATTCTTAATTTTCTTTGAACAACTCCACCTTGTTTTCACCGATAAAAAAAAAACCAGGCGAAATTTTGCCCCCGCCTATTTCGGTTTATGTTTTGATCTTCTGTCCGAACACTCGTACACTCCTGAGACAGGTGGATTGGTATTGATTCAATTCAGTCGTTATTTTCGACATGTTTCCATCAAAAACCTCTAGTGACTCTCCTAGATATGATGATATATGCTTGCTCTGGGAATTCATCAACCTTGCGAAATGTCTTGACGCCTGATCATGAAAATATCAATTGGTGATTAGATGTCAATCAATCAGACAAGCCTTCATGAAGGAAGACTTTAATGGATCAGCTCTTCCTTCTGATCCGCAACTCACCATTCCACCATATTCCCCGGTCGACTTTCCTATCGGAATTGTGCGTGATTGCTTTTGCACCGTTGAAAACCGATGGGTGTCTTTCATTATCTTTTCCAATTCGTCTAGCACGTTCATGCTTATCTCCAAGCACTTGCGACCTAGATAAAATGAAGAATAATAAATAAGAGCAAGTGCTCAGTCGAAAAAATTTGATCCGTCCTGATGGAGATTGTATACGTACGAGCATCGATCATCTTTTTCATCAGTGGACCTTCATTCTCGAATCCCTCGTAATCTCCCACCTCGATCTCACAGTATCCTCCGGTTTTCGTGAGCCTGACCATTTGATAGACGATCTGTTTCCATTCACCGTCCGTGAATCTAGGGGAGAGAACTCTCATGTGCACATAGTCAAACGAATCATCGTCATAGTTCACCCCGCCCAAAACGTCGATCCGCAATATATGTGCGTTGCGAGGAAGTTGAAGTTTCTTGCATGTGGGAGATGCATGTATGCCGGTAAATTTTGATGATGAAAACTCCATCGCCATGGCATGAATCCAATGGCCCGACCCACAACTACATTTGGTGATGAAAAGAGGAAGATTAGAATCAAGCGATCGAAGAAGCGAGTGGAAGGTAGGTAAGTGAGTAGGAGGTACTGCAGATAGGCCACGCAATGAGTACTCACACGGCATCCAAAACATCCCAATTTCCAGCTCTTAAATTTTCCTCAATTGGACTTGAGAAAAGCGACTTACTCCATACATTTCCTAATAACAAATGTTCCACATCAAACACATCCAAATCACCGTCGTCATCTTTGTTTTCACCTTGTTCATTATTCTTCAGTTTCGTGGTGTTCAACCCTCGGGTGGACGCATAGGATGAGGATGAACCGGTGGGGTCAAAAGGTTCCCTCGTCGATCGCTTTGAAGTGCACAGACCCATTCTTTACCCGCTCTCTTTGTTGTTCTGTTCTGTTCCGTCGTCTTTTAATTTGCACGCATATGAACAAATGTGGGTATACGAGTACTGCAGGTGAAAATCGAGTATCTTGCGAATGACCAGTGTGTGAAAAATTTATCAGGGTTCTACTGTATGTTGGAATATTCGTGCGGTGGTACGTTAAAGTGAGTCATCAGAAAAGAGATTTTTTAAGAAAGAAATTGTCGACTTTTATACAGCAAAGATCCACAGATTGACCATACCACATCAGTATCATTTACATTACTGTACAGTATGCGAATTATAAGAATTATACATAATAATCCTTTACGTAATGGTCACATAAGTTTGCCACTTTTTTAATTTTCACCCCAAGTTTTCTAGGTAACCAAACAACCTCAATTCTGCAAGGAAAATCTCCAAGGTTTTTCAATAACAAACTCGGCCAACAAAATACCGGCTCAGAATTTTGATAAAAACTGGCTAATGAGATTGTGACGACAATTTTTTGATAGGACACTTGGAACGCATTACTGTATATTTTACTACATGATGTGATGCATACATGTACATACGTATATTATGCAGTACAATTTCAACACCTCTTTTGTACTGAATGGCTTTTTTTTTTTTTTATGTATATAGATTTGCAAGTGCCACAAAATTATGCAATTATGCACCACATATACGAATGAATTTTTCCCTTAGTAAAAAGTCATCTGCAATTAGTGTTTGAAGAGTACAAACCACCAATTTTAGACTTTTCATTATTGCCACTTGTTTGAGAAAACGCGCATTTATAAAGGTTAATTTAGACCTTTTTTTTTTTTTCTATTAAAAAAAAAAACAATAAATAAAGATCAATTCATCCTTGCTTACACGCGCACTACAACGATAACCAAAACAGTCGCTCGTCATTTGATAAGGTTGCATTATGCTTAACGCTAATTGACCAATGAAATTTGAAGAATAACGTTTTGTTCTCAAAGAAGTCACACGAGACTTATGATATTATCTTTCGCACCATTTATTTGCATCGTCCATTCACTCGCGTCATCCAAATAACTCGCTTTGCGATCACATACCTAAAATACGCTCACTTTTCCAGCGCAGCATCTGAAGAGAAAAGTTAAGGTTCCTCGGTGACGTGTGATGACATAATAAAAGAGATGCGTTTAACCATAATCAGAGATTAAACTTAAACTTTCAATCTATTAATAGTAAATCCGTGATGCGATTTATACAGTCCTAGGATTCGAGAACAAATTTGTTTTTTAAAATCATACCAATCAATTCGGGAACCCGGTGAAATCCAACAATCCTTTGTTTCAAGAGTATGCCCATAGGTTATTGGTGGCAATAGATTTTTGTTTCTTTTCGGTAAAATGTTGCACGCCAGACATTAGTACGCATTTCCATCCATCCATCCATTCATCCATCCACTCATTCACTCATCAGTAAATTTCAAAAGAGGCAACGTCATGCCTTTTACATGAAACTGTAACCCGCAACCCAATTTTGGTAATTGCAATGACGAACCCAAAACTGAAAAATTGTTGTGATAATAATAATTATCTTACTTGAAAGAGCCGTGACTCCCGCGCTTAATCAGGCTTTCGAAACACCGATCGCACGTCAAATGATATGACAAAGCAACGAGAATGGTTCGATATGTAATCGGATTTTGCTGCACAATATATGAATTTTAAAACAAAGTTTTATTCAAAAAGATACACACGGAACGGCTTTTTCCTTTTTCATAAAAACGAATTCGGCTCATAGTTTGCCTAGAAAAGTGGATAGATCTTGGGAGCACTAAGCGCGATCTACGTTACCCTTGTGAAAAAATACACATGCATGCACTGCATCAGGCTTGACCGAGCCATCCCTGCGGATTCGTTGTCTCATGAAGGAAGAAATCGCAATTGTATTACTGTAAACGGGGTGTATGGGTTTTCGTTACCATCATCGTATTCGTTCTGAACCGTCGGAACAGTCTGCACATGGTCACACCGCTTTCGTCAGACCCTTAACACAGCCGGCTCAGCGAGTATCCAGACCTTGTCGCTACGTAAAAAAAAAAAAAAAAAAGACACACTATACGTATTATGTATAATATGATGATACCCTAACCACCACATTTCCAGACCACATTTATAGACCACGTTCCTATACTGGCAGAGAATGTGATGTTTAATCGCGGGGCAATGCAAAAACTTCCGGAATTCTCTAAAAAAAGCTGGCGAGAAAGAAAAACCTTTATCGTTATTATAAAAAGGGTACTCTTTGTTGATAATGTTAATCATCAATGATATAAATTTTTAAAATCCAACAATTTGCCGGATATACGCTGATGCTGTGTGCAATTTCAATAAGAATAATGCATGCACAATGTATCAGAGTACAAACGACTTTTCTATAACCGAGATGCAGATAACCTATCTTTGCTACCACAACGGAACAACAATTTTCTTTTTTTCTCTGAGATAAAAAAAAAAAAAAAAAAAAAAAATGATGCGAATCGCATTCGCACAATATGCACTCGGCTTTTAACGTACCCTCGGTATCCGATTCTATTCGTCAAGGCTCAATGCCGAGAAAAAAATTAAGAATTTTATTCAAATAAAGGGATTGTTGAAAAAGATCCCCCCCCTTTTTTTTTTTTTGGATCCTATTATCAATAAACTAAACAATTATACAAACACGATACCATAAATCACTCCCTTTATACTGTATCGAATTCAACTGCACCCCCAAAATTTTTTATATTATGCTATATGCGACATATTTTTTTTGGAAAAAAAATTTTTTTTCATGGTCTATCATATAAACTATTTTTTTCGATAGTTGGTTGTTTGCGCAATGTTCTGGATAGATTTGATAAAAGTTAAAACAAGATTTTTTTAATTTATAAGCACTGTATTTCTTTAACAAAGCATCATACACAGCATTTTCAAATAGATTATCTAAACTCATGCGTGTAATTTACCATTCATGGGAAATTAAAAATTCATCTATGATAAAATTTTATTTTATCGTATCTTATACTTTAAAAAATGTAAAATTTTATAGCAATTGCCATTAACTATCGAAACATCTACCAATGAATATTTAATAAATTAAATTTCGCTTTTCAA